ACACACACAAAAAAAAAAAAAAAGCTCGAATGGCAACAGTGGGAGGAGGAAAAATGAAACAGTTCACTGCCCTTGGAGCGGCGAATGGGTGCGGAGGCGGGAGCCAGCGGGTGAGGGAGCGGGACGATGAGGAGAAAGGTATTGGGTACTGGGAGCACGGGTTGCAAGTGAGGAAGACACAGATAGACTCACTTGAGTGAGCCAGTCGACGCAGGCGTCCAATTCGATGAAGCCTCCAACCAAGAATGACAAAGCCTCAAGCTGAGTATCACCAATGCACGTCCGACTTCTTGAAGTGCGACGCACCAAGTTCACGAAACACGTAAGGAGAGAGAGGGAGAGGGGCACCAATTCGTGGTTGCACTCAAAGCACGTAGCACGCACCAAGTTCACGTGGCACGTAGCAGAGAGGAGAGAGAGTCGCACCAATTGGTAGCACGTAGCTCATGCTCATAAAAAGGACGTAGCGCCAAAGCGCTTAGCACCGAGAGAGAAAGAGAGGAGTTGGACGAATTCGAAGCACGTAGCTCGTGGAATCTTGCACACGTAGCTCCGAATCTGGCACACATAGCACGTGGCTCCACGCACGAATCAAAAAGGATGAAGCACGAGGCACCAAAGCCCGACAGCACCAAAGCTCGAAGCACGTAGCACCAAAGCCCGAAGAACGTAGCAGCGGTTCACGTACCACACAAAGAGAGAGAGAGAGAGAGAGAGAGAGAGAGAGAGAGAGAGAGAGAGAGAGAGAGAGAGAAGTAGGACCAAAGCTCGAAGGACGCAGCACAGCGAGAGGGGCAGGAAGGTCTCGTAGGGTAGGTCGCGAAGGGCAGATCGTGCAGGTAGAGCTCTGCTGGGGAGCGCCGCCAACGGCGCCGGTAGTGCGCTCGTGGCCTCGCGCCGTCGGTTAGGCCCGCTCACACAGAGGCCGCCGACTCGTCCAGCGGTCCTAGCGCTATCGTAACGCAAGTTACCGCGGTGAAGGCGGCAACCATGGCCACGACCATGGCGGCGTGAAAGCTTCACGCCCGTCTCCTCCACCAGGACAAAGTTACCCCCAGGACGAAGTTACCCTTAGGTCGAGGGGAGAGGAAGCAGATTTCAGCTGTGTGCAGTAACTGCGCCGAGTCTCCAGAGTGTCAGGGACATGTCGGCACCGCCAATCGCCTCGAAGATCCGGAAAGACGAACTGAAGGCTACGAGGGTAATTCTTCTTACTCCTCGCCCGTCTCACCAATGGATTCTGGGTTGGGACTAAGCTCACTCTCTCGGGTTCTGCAACAAGAGGTCAGAGTGGATAGTAGCTCAAGAGGCTACGGTACATGGCGTGTAAGGTGTTAAGGCATGATTGTATTTGTTCCACCTTTTGCATTACCTGCGGGTTGAGTTTGCTGCTTGATCAAGTATATTGCTTTGGGCGTGTTGAAGCTTCAGTAGATTAGTTACCAGTCGACGAGTACTCTTCTCACTAGTAATGTTCTCTTAGGATATAGGACAATTCGTGGATACAGTGTAGCCGGAACAATGGCCAGACGATATGTGTCACAATAGTCGCCCAGTGCTTGCTACGCTGCCGGATTCTCGAAATTGCTAGGCCTGGTAGACGTGGATAACAGTAGCTTCGCCTCCGTTCAGGCCCAGCAGTCAAAAGATGCTCGGTTACTACCCAGCACCTAGCGGATAGGCCGATCCAAGGCCAGGTACCCTCATTCCAGGCCGCGCCACAGCTGAACGGTGAAATCATAGTCGTTTTGTGCGAAGCCCTTCAGACTTGCATATTACTATAGACCAATAGAACAAGTGGTATACCCGCCCAGCCAGGACAAGTGCTGAAGGCGGGAACACCACACGGTTCGGGAGACAACAGAACAGACTTATCGCAAGGACGAAAAGCAGGCGGAGACCCAGTAATTAGCTTCAGAACTGGGTAACCATGGCAGCACAGCAGCAGTTAGAATCAGACATGGCGATGGGGAAGACAGGGTTCAAGATGGGCAGGATGACGGTTTCGACAAGCGGGTCAGGTTTCTTCTGTCTATGTGCTATGACGAGGGCTTATGCCCCGATGATATACCATTCGAAAACCTGTCCATTGAGGGCAATGAAGCAGTGGTTACTGTGGATGCCCGGTACTATGAGATCAAAATTCAATGGCTGAAGGAAAGAACGGTGGCTATAATCTTCAGAGACGAAGCAAGAAACCTTCCCCGAAAGGTAAAGGAGGACATCGTTAGATCCTATGAGAACGGGTGGAAAAAAGATGGAATTTTCGAGCCTCCCCTAGGACAAGGAAGGGTGAAATTTGAGGGTGCGAATGTCATCTCATATGTTGCAAGGGATAGTGTGGTGGCGGAATGGATGGTGAATGAGGGGTCTGGAGAAGTACAGCTAAAAGGAAGAGATACGTTTTGGAGATGAAGCCCTGGTTACCAAGGGCTGAATGGAAGGAATTCCGGAAGCAAAGTTGGAAAACACTTTTTGGGTACTAGCCATCCAAGTACCTTGGATGCATATTTCTACCTCAAGTCTTCAATAGCTCGAGTCATTGGCCCGATAGTGAGTATGGATCCGCCCGACAGGTTCTCCTCGAATCCTAGATTACTCAATGTCAAATGCATACTGGATCCAGGAAGTTGCTCCAGGTTCGTAGATCGGGTATGGGTAGACACGGAACAAGGTGATATGGTAGAAGTGAGGTTAGCCTCAGCGTCCACACCATACTGTACGCGCCGCCGATGGTACTTTCACACAGACGATCAATGTACAAGAAAGAGAGAGAATCAGAATAGGCGGCGCAGTAAATTTGGCCGAGATCGTGCCTCCCAGATGATGGAAGAGGAGAACGATGCATCGTCGGCCTCCTCCAGCACCCACTTGAGAATGAATGCTCGAACACATATGAATCCGAATAAGACCACGTAGCCATTTCTTCTTTTTTTTTCGCCTTTGCGCTCTGATATTCATGTGACGATATATGTGAATATATATATATATACATATATATAAGAGCATAGCAGATCGAACAGAAAGGGGGAAAAAGAATTCCTCTCCTTCCGTTTCTTCTTTACAACTCCGATTGTTCGAAGCTGCTTGCGTACAAGGGCGCTTGCACCTCGGACATAAGACTTTCAATATGCTAACGTGGATGTCCATGTCTGCATTTTTTTCGCATATATATATATATATATCGTCACAAACAGAACTGTCCGGTAAAACCGTAGGCAGAGAGAGAGAAGAGGACAACAAACGAGGTATATATATATATATATATATATATATATATATATATATATCATCAAATAGAACTGCCCGGTAAACCGTAGGCAGAGAGGGAGAAGAGGACAACAAACGAGG